GAATTAGATGCTTGCTGAGTTTTCGTGTATCGCTTCAGCTTTTGATACTCTGTATAAATATTTTTGATCATATCTTGAATCCGCTTATGCGATAATGTTGGAATAGAAGCTTTTATCCATATTTGTTCTACTTTCGTTGCAACGGCATTCGAGGCGTCGGCGATAGATGGATCTTTATTATTATTTGTCAACTTAAGTTTATTACGAATAAAGAGAAAGCACTTTAGAATGTCACACTTAGTGGGTAAAACACGATCATTGAAAACACCAATAATTGTTCCTAGTTTCACAGTTCAAACTACTTTGCGTTGAGATTTCGAAGAATATGTTTATATACGACACGTCTGTGTGAGATAAGAAACTCAACATTACTGTTATCTGTTGTTGTGTCACTATGCCTGCGTGAATGGTTGCAAGATTAATGTAACATCTGCGTCTGCGTTTTTCCCTTCTCTACCTACTTGATCTACAACTGGCGTTGTTTGGAACACGTACTTCATACCATCAAGCTTCAATGGCATTATGGAAACTGACAGGAGCGTCATTTGAAATTTTGATATGGGGGTGGGTCAAGCATTATATATACCATACATTATATATGCAAACATAATACAAAATTGATTTATTTTTTGTAAATTTCAGTCATTTTAAGGGCCAGGGGGAGGGGGCAAATGCCCCCTTGACCCTATCAAATGACGCCTCTGGAACCTGAAAACATCGTTTAATTTCAAAATAATTTTGCATAAGATGCTTTTCAATCCTAAAGACGACTGTTGATCACAGCCAAATCGATTTTTTCAACAAAAATATTTTGTTTGTTTTTTTTCATTTTTCAAATCCAATATGGAACCTCAAGATTTTTTTTTATTTCAAAATGCATTTTTCTTTTATTTTATTTTTTTGGCCTTTTTCGTTCCACCCTACTGCCCATCTTATTCGGTTTTTCTTAATACGTCTAACTATGTTTTCAGTTCCATACAAAGTTACCAATTCTGCATTACGGCATTTTCTCCAATTTCTTGTAAATTTATCTCTTTGAGGGCCAAATATTATTCTGAAAACCGGTCTTTCAAATACTAGAAACTTATTGATGTCCTGCTGGTTGAGATTTCATGTTTTACTGCCATATGTAATACTTGGGCAAGTAATCGACTTGTATAGTGTTAATTTAAATTTTCTTTTTAGCAGCTTCGACCCTAATAATGTTGAAAGGGGGTATAATGCTCTATTTCTCGCAACTATCCTTGTTGAGACCTCTTATTCTATGTTGTTTATAATGACAGCTGAGGTAAGACCTCAGCTGTCATTATCTCCCCCCAGATATTTAAACTACTTTAATACATCGAACCAATCTAAGTGCAAACTTAAATGAACTATGGGACATATCGATGGAAATTAAGATAAGGATCGAGAAGGCAAGATCAGCTTTGGTCAAAACGAAAAAAATCTTTAACAGCCACGACAAAAAATTGGAAATAAAAGTTCGTTTTATTTCCAATGGAGAGTCCAACATCCGTAATGGAGAGGCACCATAAGAAGAAGATTACTTCGAAGTTGTGATCATTAATACTGATGTTTTGACTAACTCTTGGTCTTGGATTTTTTATTACTACCATGTATTACGTCTTTTCTTCATTTATTCGGAGACCCTGGCTACCTGTTTCCTCCTCGAGCTGTGAAAAAACTTCTCTCACGTCTCTTGTAAAATGCTGATTGCATTTATATTATCAGCAAAGGCCAGCAATAGTTTTGATCCTTGATCAGCAAATTATCCTGTAAGCTCAGACGATAATTTACTTATTGCATAATCTAAAGCAAAATTTAACAGCAACGGTGACAACGGGTCCCCTTGCGTAAGTCCTGAATTTATACCAAAAGGTATCGATGTTCTGCTGCCTATCTTTACTTACGCATATGAAACTGTCACGCACATTTGCGTTAATTCAACTAATTTTCTTGTTAGTCCCATTTCTAACATTGCCATCTATAATTTGTTTCTTTTTATGGAATTATACGCTTGCTGTTGAATTTCCCGTTTTTCTCTAATATTTGTCGGATGGTGAATATCTGATCTATAGTTAACCTTCCAGCATGAAAACCGCATTAGTAGTCGCCTAGAATATCTCCCGAATATGGTGTTTGTCTCTTTAGCAAGATAATTAATAGCACTTTATATAATGTGCTAATAAGCGATATGCCAGTTTTCCTGTTGCTCTTCTTTGTTCTAAAGGCAACTACTTATGGACTGAAAAAGCCGGTTAGGCTTTTTATTTTTATGAATGGTAATATCTTTTCGTTAAAAAAGGGCTTGAATCTACGCTCGTAAGCTAAATAAAATTTTGAAATGGATAAGACTGCTATTTTCTTAATATAAACTTAAATCTAATTATCCCCTTAGTAGAATAAACAATTTGGACATGTGTATTTAAATTAATTAAAATTATCATTAAAAATGGGGTAAGCAGGTAATTTTGAATACACTACATCAGCCATTATAAAAAGATAAACAGAAAGTCGAAAAAAAAATGCAAAAAAGTATTTTTGAAGTGTGTATATTTTAGGCAATTCCTAGCTGAGCGCTTTCGGCTTTACAAAGCCATCATCAGAGCTATGCTACAATAAAATGTTCTTATAAGTACTAATTGGTAAAGATTATAATTTTTAACTTACGTCAATTTTTTAAATACCACTACAAAGGAGAGATCTCATTTTCCTTAAATTTCAAAATTATGATTTTTTTGTGTTGAAATTCTTAAAACATATAAAAAACATATAAAAAGCCGACACTGGACTTCACAAACACGTTAAAAAATTGAAAAAATTTTTGTCATGGTACGGGTGTAAGAACCCGACCATTGATTGATGTGAGGACGTAGACAGAATAGAACTAATGAAATCAAATGTCGGTCCTTTTAAACGATTTTTCAAAAGTGACAGTTGACAAATGTCATATATAGGAAATAGAGATTGTTTTTTAAATTCTTACAAAATTATTTAGTAGTTTGGAATTACTAATAGTCATCAAAGACTTTCTAAAAATTAAGTTTTTAAATTAAATTTTTATGTGTTCATCACATCATACAGAATGACTTTAGTTTGTAAATTCACTCAAGTCATTGCTCAAGGTCAATGTATGTTCAATCTGACAGCCATCCTTAAGAAACAAGGGCTCAAATTGTTTAACAACAATATAAAGAGAAACATGGTATTAATGTTACGTTATCTGATACTTAAGTGTATTGAGAATTGTATCTCTTGATGGAAAATTGTAAGAAATTTGCATAAAAAATTTTTAAGAATGTATTTTCATGTTTCAATTAAGAATAACTGTCAAATGAATTACAAAATGTTGTAAATTTCTGATAAAGTTTAAAATTTGTTAAAAATATACAAGTATGAAAAATATATAATAAGATTGCATGAGGTCACCCTTCTTCCTCTAAAGTCTCCCATAATAATTAAAAAAAAAGAGGTTTATAGTTGCAATTGAGGTTGATTTGTGTGTTTAAGCAACAATCAGGGTTTAGTTTCATTTCTTTGGATATCTCTAGATCTTCCAAGAGATTCATGAGTCTAAAGTTTTTATTGGGAATGTTGTGTAAAATTTTACTGTTTTCAGAAGGAGAAAAGGAGAAAATTTAATAATCATTCCTTTTCTCCTTCTGAAAACAGTAAAATTTTACACAACATTCCCAATAAAAACTTTAGACTCATGAATCTCTTGGAAGATCTAGAGATATCCAAAGAAATGAAACTAAACCCTGATTAAACACACAAATCAACCTCAATTGCAACTATAAACCTCTTTTTAAATTATTATGGGAGACTTTAGAGGAAGAAGGGTGACCTCATGCATTCTTATTATATATTTTTCATACTTTTATATTTTTAACAAATTTTAAACTTTATCAGAAATTTACAACATTTTGTAATTCATTTGACAGTTATTCTTAATTGAAACATGAAAATACATTCTTAAAAAATTTTTTATGCAAATTTCTTACAATTTTCCATCAAGAGATACAATTCTCAATACACTTAAGTATCAGATAACGTAACATTAATACCATGTTTCTTCTTTATATTGTTGTTGAACAATTTGAGCCCTTGTTTCTTAAGGATGGCTGTCAGATTGAACATACATTGACCTTGAGCAATGACTTTAAAATTGAAGTGAATCAAAGTGAATTTACAAACTAATGTCATTCTGTATGATGTGATGAACACATAAAAATTTAATTTAAAAACTTAATTTTTAGAAAGTCTTTGATGACTATTAGTAATTCCAAACTACTAAATAATTTTGTAAGAATTTAAAAAACAATCTCTATTTCCTATATATGACATTTGTCACCTGTCACTTTTGAAAAATCGTTTAAAAGGACCGACATTTGATTTCATTAGTTCTATTCTGTCTACTTCCTCACATCAATCAATGGTCGGGTTCTTACACCCGTACCATGACAAAAATTTTTTCAATTTTTTAACGTGTTTGTGAAGTCCAGTGTCGGCTTTTTATATGTTTTTTATATGTTTTAAGAATTTCAACACAAAAAAATCATAATTTTGAAATTTAAGGAAATGAGATCTCTCCTTTGTAGTGGTATTTAAAAAATTGACGTAAGTTAAAAATTATAATCTTTATCAGTCTTTTGATTGTTAATAAACAGAAAGTCAAAAAGCATTTTTAAAAGGCACATAAACAATACTACATTTTGCTAAACCAGTTTTTGCTGTGATTTTAGTTAAACTTTTAAATGAAAAATATATTTTTAGCACTCAAAACCTTAAAAAACAACTGCAATTGTTTTAAATAAATAGTCACTTACTGAAAAATCTACCTAAACGTAAATTCATATTGATCCGTTTTTTGCTAAACGTATTGCCACCGGTTATAGCATTGTCACAACTGAATATAATTTTCCATGAATTGCATTGTGATTTATATTAAAAATTGTAAATTAAATACTTTAGGAATATAAAATAAAATAATACAGAAAATCGGTAAATACATTTTTTACTCACAATATTTATACACTTGTACGATTCAATCAAAAACAATTTGATGAATATTACATACCAATAAATTCCGACAAATAAATATATTTTATTATTTCTAAAATAAAACTTCCTTTTCTCTTTATCTACTTTTCACGCCACTTTTAACCCCATGGTAATAATGGTAGTTGTGTCCTTTTACTCCTGCGCTGTTCGGATTCCATGATGGATGATCGTAGAATGGATCATTTTCCCCAAATCTATCTCCGACACCTACGTGGTTAACGCCGTTATTAACTGAAGGATTTTGATGTGCTCCAGGAGAGTTATTACCACTTAAGGGATTATTGTTTCCAAATCTATTAACAATGGGTTGTGGTCTCCACCTAGCTTTAATAAAATCAACACCTCTTTCTGCCATCATAACTATTGTGGCATGAGTATTACCAGATACTAAAATTGGCATTGCAGATGCGTCCATAACTCTAATACCATCGATACCATGAACCATAAGTCTATTATCAATAACAGCCATTGGGTCTGAAGATGGTCCCATTTTAAGTGAACACGCCTGATGGTTTTCTGGACCGGTGTAGTACCTTATTGCACATTGCCAGAAGTCGTCAGAGTCATGTCTGAAAAAAGAAGGCAAATAAATTCAAATAACTAATCAATTTAAATTGGATGTTAAATAAACAAATAATATAATTAAATAGGTTTTGCAAGAATACTGTCATTTATACAAACGTGGCTGGAAAGTGTGGGTTAGAGCAGATTCAAGCAGTTTCATCTACGGGTGTCAGATATATACCGGTAAAGTAAGAAATTTCACCGAAAAAAACTTCAACAAGACAACATGTCGTACAGGATGTAACAAGGGTCTTAAGAAGAAGGAATCTACGCAAGTGAAACCGTTCAAAAAAATTGGAAGGATTTACCAGAGTTTACAACTGACAAACAAATGAATCGAGGAGATTCAAAATACCGTATTTCAATAGATGGACTATTTGCGTTGAAGTGGATAGATCGCAGAAGTGTGATTCTTCTGGCAAATCACCAAAATCCAGCAACAAAAAAAGTTGTAAAGAGAAGACAAAAAGACGCTACTCTGAGTAAGGTTCTATGTCCACAAATTGTAGTGGTCAAATTGTAGTGGTCTACAACTCACATATGGGATATGTTGACAAATTTGACATGCTAAAAACTCTTTATGAGTTGAATCGTAAATCCCACAAACGGTAGAATGATATATTTTTTTTGTGGATGTTTGCGTTGTAAACGCATTCATTTTATTTCCACCTAAAAGCAAATCCAAAAGTATGTCTTTGAAAGAATTCCGGTTCTCTCTGATTAGAAGCCTTATTTAAGCTTTAGAACAAATAAAAGGGGAAGACGATTAGCAGAAAAACCAGTGAGTAAATTTAAAAGGAATATTCCCATGAAACTGCACCATTCAAACTCTTCTCATATGCCTCAAAGAACTACTTATTTGAGATGTGCCAACTGCAGGATAACAGCAAATTTTAGCAGTGGAACACAGTGGAAATTTTTAACCCTCAATGTCAGACTTTGTCTCAAACACGACAAAAATTAGTTTGCAACTTTCCACGCCAAAAAATAGGAAGAATGCGAAGAAATAATTGCTACCTGGTTTTTATTTCTCATTTAATTTTTATTACGCTATGTTCCTGCTGGTATCTTGAGAATAGCACATCCTACATGATATACTTCAGGATTAGCATTGTTTAGTTTGACTGTATTTATCAACCCTTTCTATCGGTACATTTTCCACATGTATGATTGTTGGTATATTTGTTTTCTTTGCTATTATCATGTAATTGGTCATTTTATATTCACTTTTAGTCCATGTTTTTTACAGAAACTGTTTGTTTTGTTTAGCAGTAATTATAGTTGTTCAGCAGAGCTTGCCATAATCATGTTATCATCTGCATATCTTATATTGTTAATAGATCTTCTGTTAATTATTATTCTTTCAATTTCAAATAGTAATGCTTCTTCAAAAATCAAAAATTCATACATTAAATAGTAATGGGGACATAATACATATCCCTGCCTAAGTCCTCTACTGATTACGATTTGTGCTCTTAGATTCCAGTAGAGGTTTGTTATTATTAGTAAGTCCCTATGGTATATGTTTTTCGTTTTAAGAATTTTTATTTATTTGGAATTTGGACTAATAAATATATTTTACAAATATCTTGTTTTTTTTTAATTTAATAAAAATTTACTCTCAAATGGTTAATAAACAATGTTTCTAGGTTTACTATTTTATTTTTTATGCTGAGATTTTATGTATCTATAGATATTTTTTTAAAGTTTATAATGAAAAAGAAGTTTTTAAAAACTTTAAAAATCATCTACTTACTTATATTTTTTGTTGCATTCTCCATAATCCTCCTTTATAAGTTCAGGTCCATATTTTTGTTTCATAACAGTAGTATTCATTAGTTTTTGAATCACTCTTATTCCATCAACTAATACCTGCACATCCTCTGGCTCAGACAAATAATTGGCTACCATCAATGGAGCATCAAGTGGATTCTTGGATTTCAGTGTGACATATCCTTTACTCTTGGGGTGCAAAGTAACTGGAGACATTGTTAAAGTTTTTGGATTGTCTGGTTTTTCTGGATCTTCAAGCGCTCTGGCTTCGCCTGTCTTAGCACATTTTGCTAAGTATCCTGCAAAAAATATTTGAAGATCTGGGTTGCTGCCACTTGGATCTGCGTATTTTGAGTTGATTCGTGCTGTCACCTGTGACATACCTGTAAATTAGATTGTTTTAAAGATTGAAATAGACTAAAACAATTATAAACATATTAACTAAAAAAGAAAAACTTGTATAACATTTAACTTTCGTTTTACTACATTACTATAAGTATTTTTAAGTGTAGAATGAAATTTACTACAGGAACACTATTGTTTTTGTTTAGTAATATTCCGATAGCATATTTGTCTTAACCGTCTGACCTAACAGAATAATAAATTATTTCATGGTTGATTATTATTATCTTTATTAAATCGGAAGATTTATCGTTAATATTTCCAATATATCTTTATTTAGTCTTTTCATGTTGAACATTTATTTTCATATTGTTACGAACATGCAGTTCGTTGCAAAGAGTAGCAATCGACATTGCAGGTCCACTTCCAGAGACAAATAAATATATCTTGGTAGCTATGGATTATTTTACGAAATGGACTGAGACCTACGCGATACCAAATCAAGAAGCTGCTACCGTTGCAGAGGTACTGGTTAAAGAATTCTTTAGTCGACTTGGTGTTCCCTTGGAGATCCACTCCGACTAAGGGCGAAACTTTGAGTCAAACCTTTTCCAAAACGTTTGTAAATTGATTGGTGTCAATAAGACCAGAACGACACCTCTGCATCCTCAATCAGATGAAATGGTCGAGAGGATGAACCGAACAAAGGGTAAATACCTGTCCAAAGTCGTATCAAAACATCAAAGAGATTGGGATCAGCACATTTATTTATTCTTAATGGCATTACCGCTCGGCCGTGAATGAAACTATAGGCCAGACTCCAACCTGCCTGATGTTAAGTCGTGAAGTTCGTTTGCCCTGCGACCTAGAGTTTGGCTGCAGACCTTCCGAAGGACATGTTGCGAGCGAAGATTATGTCGACCGCCTAAAGTTAAGAATGAACAACATTCATGAACTTGCCTGACAACACATCCAGTTAGCCAGTGACAGAATGAAAGATCAATACGATTCTCGATGCAAGAATGAAAGCTATGAAGTAGGTGATCTTGTTTGGCTTTATAATCCACAACGTCGTCGTGGCTTGTCTCCTAAACTGCAAAGACAATGGGAGAGTGCGTATGAAATTAAAAAGAGAATAAATAACGTAATATACCGAGTTAAGAAGTTGCCGAAAGGTAAACCTAAAGTAGTTCACATAAATCGTCTTGCACCTTATGCTGGCTCAAATGAAACCGAAGAGGTCCGAACCCTTTAAAATAAGATCAAAGATGATCGGCGACCAAGCTTTAAGGAGTTTATGTCAAATTACGCAGAGAGAAAGAGTGCTAGATTCGGCGTGACGACAGAAGTTCAGCAATATCTTTTTAGTGTTCCACATAACGTCTCTCTAGCCCACTGTGTTGTCCAAGATCTTTAAATGACTAAAGGAATCTCATCTGTATTTTATAAGAAGTTCGGTCGTTTGGACGAATTAAAAAACCAGCAGCCTAGAGTTGGAAGAGTATTGAGATTAGAAGATGGTTCTCGATCTTTGCTGTATATGGTGACCAGGAAGTCGTATACAAATAGGGCAGCCTACAAGGATATATGCTGTGCTCTAACTAATTTGAAGAAAAATCGTCTGCAATTACGACATTAAGAATGGCCTTACCCAAGATAGGCCATGCACTAGATGATCTGGATTGGAAGATTGTCAGAAGCATGCTTGAAGTGATCTTCCGAGAAACCAACGTACGAATTACTGTGTGTTGCACTAATCCGAAGAGATCGTGTCCTTCAAAGACAGTAGACTGTTATTTCTTTCTGAGGGGTTCATGCAGCGCTGGAGAGTCCTCTAGATTCCGCCATCCTGGGCCTACATATAGAGTTGCTGATCGGGACGCTCAGATCTAAGAGGGGAGCAGTGTTACGAACATGCTTTCGGCATGACTCATATAACGGTTGCATCTCGAAACGGCTTCCATAATCATCACCAGATCTCTCGAAGGCAAGGGAACAATCGGTCACGTGCGCGAATTAGAGGTGGGAACTTTCTAGAACATAGTAACTTAGGTATATATATGTAACGACCTTAGGAGTAAGTTTAGTTGATAAGAGAATACCGAACTGTAAAGTTATAAATAAATATATTTATATAAATTCGAACCGCTCGTTTTATTTAATCTCGCTACAGTTTAGAGACAACTTTATATGCAGTTATTATTACTTTTATCTTAAACGCTACATATTATATTAACAAAAGCAATACAATTTAGAAATTTTAATTACTTTAATACTATATTAAACTAAACTTCTCTTGCAAGCAAGAAAATTTAGAATAAAAACTTAAAACAGCATCCCTTTAATGTAATTAAATTCTTGTGGTTCGGGTTTTACAACATATTTCAGTTTGCACTTAAATTAAAATATTTTCCGCTTTCATAATGAGCACCTACTTTTCTTATTATCTGAGCCTCGATGCTTTAATAAACATTCTTAACTTAGTATCAAATCTACAAAAGAAATGTTATTTTTCCTTTTTAAGTTTATTGGATGTCCTTTGTAATTGTGTTTAATTTACTTTTAATTCCGTAGTCAGTATAATATATAAAAATAAGTCGCTTTCGCAAGCACACTACACAGAGATGTAATTTATAGAAAGAAGAGTTCAGTAAGTGGAATGTTCGATAGGAAATTTAATTTTGTTACAAAAAATAAACAAACTGATTTTCTTGTCGTTATAAAGACGAAAGTCGATTTTACACCATAAGAAATTTATATATTTGTGACTTCATCAGAAAGGTCCAATATCTCTCAACTCCTTCCTCTAATATCCTAAGTCTTGATTGGCTTTTTAATCCGAAGAGCTAGCGCCCCAACAATTGTTTACGTTAGCCTGACAGCTTCTCGTTAGTTTCTTGAGATATATTGGTAGTGTACTCAAGCACTTTCAACTTGCTAGCGAGACGAATTAAACGATAAAATAACAACAGAACTACTAGAAGCAGGCCTAAAGATTGCTAAACGCGAAAACAAAAAAAAATAGCGCAAAATCACAAGATATGCTAAAAGTCGACGACAATTACTGAATGATAGCAAAAGAATTACAGTGAAGTTTACCGAACTTAACAAAACCATAAGAAAACAGATAAAGGAAGATTTAAAGAAATACCAAGAAGATCGCATTAAGGAAATCATAGAGAAGAACAAAAATTTAAAAACAATGAAGACAAATTTAGGAAAAAGAAAACTAATCATGCTTAAAGCTGAGAACAATGAAGAAAGAGATCTAGGAGAAATAGTAAAAATCACAGAAAGATAGTACACAGACCTATACAGTTCTAAAAATGACCCACCACTATCATCTAAACAGAATCTCTCGAGAAAAATACAAAATGTTGGCTCAGAGGTATTACCAGAAATAACTGAAGATGAAATCGAAAAATCCATAAACGACATGAAAAGATTTAAAGCGGCCGGTGAGGACAAAGTACTGGTAAGGTAAAATACCTAAACAATGGAGAAATGCCAACACAATCTTAATACATAAGAAAGGAGACCGAATAGACATAAACAACTACCGTCCTATTTCCCTTTTGTCACAACTATATAAAACCTTCACAAGAATGATAAACAAACGACTAACCTATAAACTTGATAACTATTAACCAGTGGAACAGGCCGGATTCAGGAAGGGTACAGCACAATCGACCATCTACATGCGCTTAAAATCTTAATTGAGAAAACCAATGAATACAACCTTCCGCTGTACTTAGCATTCGTAGATTGATTAAAAGGCTTTCGACAGCATTGAACACTGGGCGGTTGAAGAAGCTCTGTCAATAGTAGAATAGATTCAAGATACCGACTATTGATACATGATATTTACCAAAACGCAACCATGACCGTAATTCTGGACGACAAATTAATAACGGATAATATAAAAGTTAAACGAGGAGTCCGACAAGACGATATAATTTCACCTAAACTGTTTACCTTGACCCTCGAAGACATAATAGAATCAACAGATTGGAAAAACAGGGGAATATGTATTAACGGAAAATACCTAAATCACCTTAGATATGCGGATGATATACTCCTGATCTCCTCGGAACGACAAGAACTGGAATTAATGCTAAATGAACTTCATAAAAAATCACTGCAAAAAGGCCTAAAAATTAAGTTCAACAAAACAAAAGTAATGACAAACACGGAAGACCAAGAGGCAATAAAAATACAAACAGAAAAAATAGAAAAGGTAAATGAATATATCTATCTAGGACAAGCAATCAGAGCTAACAGAGAAAATCAAACAGCCGAAATATCGAGACGAGTAAGAATGGGATGGGCAGCGTTCGGCAAACTTCCTTACGTTCTAAAAAATCAAACAATCCCTCTATACTTACGAAGCAAGGTATATAACGCCTGTATAATACCGGTGCTCACCTACGGAGCACAGACATGGACATTTACACAAGCCAATTTGGATAGGATAAGGAAGGCACAAATAGCGATGGAGAGACAAATGTTGGGTGTATCACTTAGAGATAAAAAACGTAACCAGTGAATCAAAACCAGAACAAAGACAGTAGACGCGATAGAACAAGCAGCAAAACTGAAATGGAAATGGGCTGGACACAATGAACGTCTCCAAGACGGACGATGGAACAATGCCATCGGAAAGTGGAGTCCATACAATGCAAAGAGATCAAGAGGCAGACCACAGATGAGGTGGAAAGACGACATCAGGAAACAAGGAGGTTTCACATGGCAGAGAACAGCTCAAGATAGGGAAAGATAAAGAGAATTGGGGGAGACCTATATCCAACAATGGAAGGATAAAGAATAGGTTCAAAAAAAAAGCGAGTCTATCGTTGCACACTATTAGGTTAGATTAGATTAGGTTATACCGGATCCAGCCACGCGCTTAACGATCAAGATCGACAAGGCATTGAAAGGCAGTAATAATACTTATATTGCATTTGCAAGAGCGATTTTAGCTCATCTGTATCACCACACGATATTGCAGACCTAGCACATGCTTCCCATGTTTACAGAAAGCTTTTGCGCAGCAGGAGGGATTGGAAGTCCGGTGGAACCTAAATACACAACGATTCCTGTAATCATTTCAGAAACCGTGTCAACATAAACGAATTAGAAAAGATCCCTTTTCCGTGTGGTAAATTCTACGAATGATGTTGCTAAATAACTCCACAAATCGCGTTTATTTTAAGACAAGGTGAATGTAAGGTTCCCCTTTCGCATAAATGTGCTCTATTTTAGGTTAAACCAATTGTATTATTAAAAGATCTCCATGTTAGAGAGCTTATTAACTATTTATTACTACTTTATATTTTGATACTGTGTTTATCTCTATACACTAGTTTAACGATTGGTAATATATTAGCCGTAACCTATAAACAATAACAATGTGGACCTACGCTATCAGTAATTCAACAATATTCTAATATCCCTCTATGATCCTGTACTAAAAAATATATAAACACTTGTGTCTATTTAATTTCAGCTTAGATGTTATTTTTTATGAACTGAAGGCACTCTCTAGGCCACCAATACATACTTTCAACTCGTTTCAATGAATTAAATTTTAAACATATTTCTCTTTATATTAATAGTAAATTCTTTCTATTATAATTTAAGAATATTTTTCGTTTTAACACTTAGGGGTCAAAAAACCTTCTACACAATGCACCAATGAGTCCATCTGCAGTAAGAGTGGCACGATCGCCATTATTTAAGGCTGATCTTCCCATCCTACCTGTATTCTCTGGGATCTATTATTATTTAATGAACGAATGTTGTATTGAACATTGGATCAACTGTGTTCTTACGTTTGGTGAGGCATTCACATACTGAGTTGAGTATTGGAGCGATATCAGTCTGTTCCATCTAGAGAGAACATCAACATGTATGACATGAAAATTGCCGCGGCTACGATTGTCGTAATAATGAGTTCATATGTTTATATTTTGCTACAAGAATGGCAAAGGCTTTCTCGTCAAAGAAGAGGATGGACGAAATTAACTAAGAAATCACTAAGTATTGCCTTGAATACTGGTTATCAAATGGAGTCTTATTTAGTTGCACAAAACAATTTCTTATTTCAACCCTTGGTAATCAGTTCAACCTACTGAATTTTTATTATTCTTCTGTAACACCACATTTCGAACGCTTCTATTTTTCCTTTGTGTTGTTTCTTCAATGTCCAAGCTTTCATTTCGTATAGTAAGACAGAAAATATGTAACATCTTAGAGCCCTCAATCTGAGATGCAACTGAAGGTCTCTGTTGGTAAGCATTGTCTTCGTTTTCACAAATGCTTGCCTTGCAGTTTCAATTCGGACTTTGATTTCTCAGCTTTGGTCATTTTTGACAACAACCCAGGTTCCCAGATATTTGTTGTCTCTACTTTTTCTATTTAGGTTTGCTCTATCAATAATCTTTCATTTCCATGTTACAAAACAATTTAGGTATACCTTATTAATATTTTAGACATGATGGACGTCAATGATTGAGAAACTTGTTGTGAGAACCTTCAGGAGAATTTAAAAACTTGTGTCAAATTAATTACTATTTATAACTGGGAATAAGCCACAATTAAAGATAAAAAATACGTTTATTGACGTTTCAATTTCCAATTCGGAAATCGTTCTCAAAATACAAACAGTAAATTGATTTAAAATACAAACAGTAAATTTACTGTTTGTATTTTGAGAACGATTTCCGAATTGGAAATTGAAACGTCAATAAACGTATTTTTTATCTTTAATTGTGGCTTATTCCCAGTTATAAATAGTAATTAATTTACAATGCCACAAGAAAATAGCTTCAGAACAATATTGTGTCAAATGTCATCGACCGATTTTAAATATCTTTTAAAGCTAATTGAATCGAAAATAAAACAGAATGACACGCGATGGAGAAAACCAATACCTGATAACGTACACTTAGCTGTATTTCTTGCTACAGGAGACAATTTCAAGAGCCTTCTTTTTCTATTCAAAATATCGAGACAAGTTAGGAGGTGGATTAGGTGGCCGAAGATAGATTTTTACATATCGTAAATTTGTTTTTTAATGCCGTCATGGAATGGACATTTTCTGCGATAAAGTATATTTTATTTTCTAAGAAGAATGCTGTGTAAAATATCAGCACAAGTGTTTTAAAAGAACAAAAAAAAGTGTCTTTTTATGAACTGTTGCTTGTCATTGGTTTATTTTCTTTTGCTTTGCTAAATTGTTTAAAATTAGGTAATTTTATGCAGGATGCGAAAATTATGCACCAGTAACTCAATAATACACGAAGCGCATAATTATATGCCGATTGGAACACTGATTTAGCGCCAATGTGTGGTCGGCATCAACGGCAATACCACTATTGGCACCATTGATTACGCAAAAACATACAGCCCACGGAAAACTCCCAACGTTCAAGCAAGTCATAAAAATGTTGGCACCAACATTGGCTCCAACACACTTGTGTGAGAACACACATTGGACAAACGCTGTTGGGACTATCGTTGACCACCATGTATTGAGCCGGCATAATGGTAAAGAAGGTGAGATCTATTGCTGCCGTGCGGCAGACTGTTCTATATGGTGCCATGTCACGCAATAAATAACAGGTCACTATTAATTTTTTAAAACTTTTGTTTAATATCTGGCATAAAATTTGTAGAAACAACTCTTTCTAATAATAAATAAAGTCTCGTAACTTTAAAAAATCTAGTAATTATTTGTTCTTCTAAGACTCTCAGGAATTGCAGAGCGTTATACGAGGCTGCATCTAGCACGCTGTCCACCAATTGTAAACCTGTGGTTTAAAAATATAATAAACTGGACGTTTTTGATAAAATAAAACACTTAATAAAGCAGTTTGAATTTACCTGTTGATGACATAGGTCCTTTTTTATTTACAATGTAGTTCATAGCCGTGGCCCAATCTAGATCTACAAAATCCTTCTTTTTCTTTAGCAAATAAGTGATATAAAAAGTGACGTGGTTCTTTAGATTTTTTCCTACGCCTGGTAGATCATGAACTTGTTGAATTCCAACCTAAAAATATTCAAAAATAAAACTAAAACTGTCTAAAATATTTTTACTGCACTAATTATAATAAATTTTTTTTAACAATCGTAAAATAGTTTCGAAACACAATTCAGATTTCTGCTTTATAATTTGAGCCTTCTAAGAATTGCAAGGCAAACAGACGTTGATAAAAGATGTTAAAAGAGACATGGGGAATCTAAAATTTGCATTCCACGGCATGTCTTTTACTACTAAGCAGAAATCCTTAGCGAATTGTGCTTCTTGTACTCCCACAGAGTAAATCCGAATTAAATGAGAAAAGGCAGCAAATATTTGATTTCACGTAAACAAATCCTATGTATATCTTGATACGTATTTCGACCTAATAGGTCTCGTCAGAAGAGCTATTCATAGGGGTTCTCAACTTGAAAAATCAATATTTTCTGACTTTTAAGAAGCAACAATAACATGGCTTCGATACGGACGCACTAGCGACATCTAATTTAACAATCGTTTAAATAGTTTCGAAACACAATTCAGATTTCTGCTTTATAATCTGAGCCTTCTAAGAATTGCAAGGCAAACAGACGTTGATAAAAGATGTTAAAGGAGACATGGGGAATCTAAAATTTGCATTCCACGACATGTCTTTTACAACTAAGCAGAAATCCTTAGCGAATTGTGCTTCTTGTACTCCCACAGAGTAAATCCGAATAAAATGAGAAAAGGCAGCAAATATTTGATTTCACGCAAACAAATCCTATGTATCTCTTGATACGTATTTCGACCTAATAAGTCTCGTCAGAAGAGCTATTCATAGGGGTTCTCAACGTGAAAAATCAATATTTCTCTGTGGGAGTACAAGAAGCACAATTAGCTAAGGATTTCTGCTTAGTTGTAAAAGACATGTCGTGGAATGCAAATTTTAGATTCCCCATGTCTCTTTTAACATCTTTTATCAACGTCTGTTTGCCTTGCAATTCTTAGAAGGCTCAGATTATAAAGCAGAAATCTGAATTGTGTTTCGAAACTATTTTACGATTGTTAAATTAGATGTCGCTAGTGCGTCCGTATCGAAGCCATGTTATTGTTGCTTCTTAAAAGGCAGAAAATATTGATTTTTCACGTTGAGAACCCCTATGAATAGCTCTTCTGACGAGACCTATTAGGTCAAAATACGTATCAAGAGATACATAGGATTTGTTTGCGTAAAATCAAATATTTGCTGTCTTTTCTCAAATTTTTTTTTGTTTCCATACTAAAAGTATGTAATAAAGTATCTAAGTATCTAAAAGTAAGTAATGGGGTTTTGAATTTAAGAAATAAAATTTACTTTTTATTAACACATTCCTTGTCAGCTATATTTTCGTATATGTGCCTCTACGGGCCAATAATATACTAAACACCACATGGAAAGATCCAATTTCGCGCATGTGGCTTGTGTCGCATCCGGCAATAAAGCCTTGCTGTTTGATTATTTTGTCAAAATTATTGTTTATTTAAAAAAAAATTTAAAAATACGTTGATTCCATCGGACCTACGTGTCCCATTGAAGCACTTCGATACCTCCATGCGCCGTTAGTCCCACTGCAGTGAGAAACACATGACATGGCATTACCTAAAATATTTCGATCAGTCTACATCAACTGTGACTGTGTATGTTATAACAAGTTAAAAGTGTTGATGTAATACGTTTATATTCAAAATTATAATTCCGTTAAAATAGTAATTACCAGGCTAGAAATCTTTACAACAAAAACTTTAGAGAACAATTCTTGTTAATTTCATATGGCTTAATGCAACTGAATCGAAATGTACAAAACTCTAGCCCGAACATTGTGGTCTTTATTTAGATGATTTTTTAAAATCAACAGGATTTATTGGTGATCGAACGCATTTGAAAGTGCAAGACATTCTCAAAATTTCGGAAGATGAAAACGAATGTATCGAAGGCAATAATGGAAATTGTATTTTCGATGAATTAGAAGTAGAACAAAAATTACTAATTGTATTAATAATCACTAAATATGTTTGTTTTACAAAGCAAAGTAACACGAAATAAAATGCTTTTCATTTCAGTTAATATTTTCCTGTTATAGGGTAAGTTTTAACTTTATACCTATACTTGATGTTAGACACTTACCTTGTCAAGATCAGCTTTTGGACCAATTCCTGAAAGCAGAAGAATTTGTGGAGAGTTTATAGCTCCTGCGGCTAGGACTACTTCGCTTTTTACTTTCACCGTATATTTTTTATCTTCGTAAACAAATTCTACGCTGTCAACAATTTTTTGTTTTCCATCTTTTCTCAAATTAATTTTTGTCACGGTTGAGTTAAGCATTACATGCAGATTAGTGTTATACCTCTGTGGCCTTATATAGGCACGAGCACTGCTTAATCTAACACCGTTTCTGCAAAATAAAAAAAATAATTAGAGTAATCTCAACTAGTAGGTCTTAAAGTATTGGTTTAGTTTTTAAGTTAATTGTGTGGAATACACCACGCGTTTTTTTAATTATTAAAATACAATCTTAAAAATTATATCGTATTTACCAACAACATTACATGATTGATGATTTCAATGGTAAATAAACAGTACGTGAGTTAACAACAGAAAGACTTCTTGATTCACCTTGTAGAGTCATATAGACGTACTTTAACAAAAACAAACCAAATAAAATAGTTGGGATTAACTCTAGATTGCATCCTATACGTAGAGAGCCATATAAATACCTTGTAAATATAACGTCAACCTAGAATTTTCTAAAATAGAGAAAATAAAATAGAGAAAAAAAGAAATAAAATTTTCTTAAACCATACGTCAGAAGCAGATACAAGAACTCCACTAAACTTATGCCAATCACTTATACGCAGCAAATTAGACACATTGCAATCTATTGGGGTACTGCCAAAAAACTACACTTAAAAACAACTACTTGATCACTCTGTATAAAAAAACATTGGAACTTATCAACATTTTGTGACCACAACCCGGCAACTACATAACCAAGACATGAGTTTTGTAAGAGAGGAAGATTTTTAACAAGAGAAATCTTTCTATTTCGAAGTATATCCCAGAATAAATCGGAACCAATAAGCATATCAACTGATTGTCATCTATAAAACGAAGGATTGTCCAACGAAATATTTTAAGGAATATTTCAATTAGAACCTTCAATGTGATAAATAGGTAAATTTTCAGTAATTTTAGGTAGAATAAAACATGTTAAATTGAAGATATCTGAATCGTAACTAGATCCAATAGAAACAATACATTTATAACGTAGGGTGGAAGTGACACGATTGATCCCTACAATCGAAAGATTTGCATCTATTTGCTTTAGGCATTCATTATAAACCACCCACTAGATAGCTCACCTCGTGGTAACCGAAAGACGTATCAATAACTAGATGGCGTTACTCGAAAACCGTATTGAGATTTCTCATTCTCTCTTTGACTTGCGAAAGGGTAAGAGTAGTGTAAGGTGTACTAGAGGTTTCAACGAAAAGATGTACAAAGCAACGGCGTTCCTCGACGTGAGTAAGGCTTTTGATAGGGTATGGCATCAAGGTCTGCTCTATAAAATGAACAACCTAGGCTATAGTGAAGCGATGACATGTCTTCTTGCGTCATATTTAGCTAACAGAAGGTTCAGAGTTCGAATAGGTTCAACCCTATCTGAACTAGGGACCCTGGAAGCAGGTGTGCCCAAGGGAGCGGTGTTATCGCCTTATCTGTACACTATCTATACAGCTGACACTCCGACAGACCCGAGAACTATGGTTAGCTTATATGCGGACGATACAGCCATAGCAGCTAGCAGTAGAGATCCAAACCTAGCTGCCACCACCTACAAAGCGCTCTGAATAGGTTCCAAAGATGGTGTATTAAGTGGAAAATTGCACTAAATCCTGACAAAACACAGGCCGTTATGTACAGACACAGAATAAGGAGACCAGACAGGGAAATCACTATAGGAAACACCCCTGTAGAATGGACGAACGAGGCCAAATACCTCGGAGTCATTTTAGACAGAAAGCTCACTTTCACGGAACACGTAAAACAAACTCTCTACAAAGCAAAAGCACTAAGAAGTCAACTCTTTTCACTAATCGGCAGAAACAGCAAACTTCGCTTTAAGACAAAAAATGAGGGTAGCTAATAGTATAATACTACTCTCCCTAACATATGCATCTGCCGCATGGGGACACACATGTAAAACCAATAGGAAGAAAATCCAAACAACACAAAACTGGATAATCAGATAACACGGATAACACAGATCGGATAACCGGATAATTGCCTCTTTTAGAGGCAATTTCTACAAACAAATATCTGGAACACCAATGGGTTCTCCCCTTTCTCCTGTCATTGCTGACATTTTTATGGAAGCCTTTGAGTCTTTAGCCCTAGAATCTTACCCCTTAAAACCAAAAGTCTGGTTCCGCTACGTTGATGATACATTTATTATCTGGCCCCATGGTCAACATACCCTTTCTCCCTTCCTAGATCATCTTAACTCACAACATCAGAGTATAAAATTCACAATGGAAGTAGAAAATAATCAGTCCCTTCCCTTTCTCGATGTGTTAGTCACCTCCAAGCCCAATGGCCAATTGGGTCACTCTGTTTATAAAAAAAGACTCACACGAATCGTTACCTACATGCTTCATCACACCACCATCCTGCCCAAAAGAATTCTGTGATCAACTCTCTCATCCATCGGGCCATTTCGATTTCTGAACCTGACAACCTTAGAGAAGAATTTGGCCATCTGCAGAAAACCCTTGTCGCCAACGGTTACTCCAAGTCCACAATTCAAAATATTACACACTGACATCTACATCCACTTTTACACCCTAGGACGACAAAATCTCACAATATCTACCCTCTCCTAAGGACCCATTACCGCCCCTATCTTCCTGTGGTGTCTATTCTATTCCTTGTTCATGTGGACATGTGTATATTGGCCGAAACTGGTCGTTCCGTCAAAACTCGGATTCAAGAGCATCAAAGATGCATTCGATCAGGTCTTTTCTCCTATTCTGCAGTTGCTGAACACTGCCAAGAAACCCATATTATTTCTAAGAGCCCCTTCTTTTATTCCAGGAAAATCCGCGAATCTCTGGAGATCCGAAAAAATCCACATAATATCAATCGAGAGGAAGGATACTACTTGTCTCCCATCTGGAATCTCAGTCTAGAGCCGCCGTCCGGTCCCGCTACCACGATGCAGCCACATGATTGGCCAGCGCGCGCTTCTTGACGTTCGCGCCACGGAGAATGCCGATACGTCCCGACACGACAGGTCACCGCGACTATAAATAGAGCGGTAGCGGAGTAATCGTCGGATTCACTCCCCGCCTCTCGACGCGTTAGTGTTCTGTTGTTGAGTTACTGTGACCAAATGCCCATCTTGGTAGTTATTATTCGCCTCTGGTTGCGTTGAGTAACTGAGTTACCATTGCTAACTACCCATCTTCCTATCTTTTGATTTCTTTTTCTTTGTTCTCCTGAAGAAGCTACATACAATTGTAGCGAAACGTCGAGATGAACCCACTTTTGGGTCACTCACAAATGACACGGTCCAAACCCGGAAGACGAATAAACTATAAGATTTTTGCTGTATGTTTTAGGAGACACCACCTATGCAACCGAAGTGTAATATAAGTCCACCTTACGTATGTTTTTCTGAATGGCCAGGATTTCACTGTAATGACTGCCCTGTAAGCCAATATATTGTTATACGTATTCTGCTACTAAAAAGCACGTACTTTATATGGGATACATTTATACAATATATTAACAGATTTTAATCCCTTTTTACAAATTAATTAAAAACGCTTTTACCAAACCTTAATATCTCAATTTATACGACTACGCACTTATATACCTTTTATTTTTATTACCGTGGTAATTCACCCTGGAAAAATTTATTATCCTTATTCCGCGGTAACCATGACTGGTGCATTTTTTATGACAAAATAAAACAAAAATATCATACTTTAATGTGAAAAATATGTTAACAGCGTGGTACTAATTTATCCCTAGAGGTAGTCTAAAGGTGCTAATATGAGATATTATCACTTCGCTTTTATACACACTCCCTTATAAATTTCATATGTTTCGTGTTCAAAGAGAGTGATATAAAGCAGACTTGATGTACGAGGGCGATTTGTAAATAATTATTATCTGTTGTGGGATCTCTTTATCTTGGAATGTAAATCAAATATAAATATTTGTTTATGTAATACTCAGATTTTCTAGACTAAAACAGATGCTATAAGTATTGGTTTTGTGTTTTAAGAATTATTCAGTTAATACTCAAAATAAATGGAATTAAATTGAATCACAAATTTCAAAAACGATTTGTCTTCAAATTTTTGTTTTTTCTTTTAACAATTTGATATTCAAATCGATTTTTAGTGAAAAACAATGAGAAAGCAAAAGAAGTTGTTCCTATGGCAATAAGATTGACATAGACTGTATAAAAGAATATTTAGTTCGTCGCTAGATCTCAGATTTACTCTTCTTCTACATACAAACTCTTTTTCTATCTTAGATAGAAAAATGTATGTATTCTTTCCATCTCTCTAGTTTGTCTTCTGTATCCATAATTATTTCGTTATTATAATTTTTTAACATTGTTGCTTATCTCTTTTTGTGTCTTCCTTTAATTTATTTTCGTTTTTTATTAATATTAAAGATGTCGTATTTTTCCTGAAGTTGTTCGATTTCTAGGCATTTTGTTGATGTCCACATGATTTCTTGCGTTATACATGCTTTTTTTTATTGTATTTTATGAACCCGATGTCTTCTTCTTGTATCTTTTTTATTTTTGTTTTTGGAGCAGTTCATGTTACTTCAATGTCTGTCTGTACCAAGTTTTCAATCGTTTTTATTTTTTCCTTAAACTTGATACTTATTTCTTATTTCTGTTTAAGGTTCTTCGGTTGTAAGATGTCTGTTTTATTGTACTTGTTTTCTTTTTGACTTTGAGAAATCTTTTTTATCTAAAATCCATTATAACTGGATTGTTATCGCTATGCATATCAGCTCCAGGGTATGTTTTTCGTAGATTGTATTGTATTGTTCTTAAAGGTGATATTGAGCAAAATGAAGTCAATTTGATTTCTAACAATTCTGTCTTTTCTGTCTGCAGGTGATTTTCATGTGTATAGCCTTCTAGGATGTTGTTTGAAGAAGGTATTGGCTATTGACAGATTGTTTTCTACGTAGAATTGTGCAAGTCTATATCCTCTATTATTTTTGGTACCTAGACCGTATGCTCCTATGTGGTCTCCTTAAGTAACACGACCAATTTTGGCGTTAAAGTCACTCATGATAATCGTCATCTCACCTCTTTTTGTCAGTCACATTATTTCATCTATGATGTTCTAAAATTTTTCG